ATGCACTCTCTTTCTCTCTCTCTCTCTCTCTAATGCATCGTTGTCGTCGAGGTTTCCCATAGATATTTTCATGTAACTTGTGAGAGTATAACGAAAAAAAAAAAAAAAAAAAAAAAAGGAAAAAGAAACAAATAAAGTAAGAGAGGTGTTGACATCCATCTATCTATCTCCCTATATATCTTTCTCTCTCTCTCTCTCTCTCTGTCTCTCTCTTTCTTTCTTTTTATTCTTTTGTCTCTTCCTATCCTTCATGGCTCGTTCCTTTGATGTATCTCGATGGATAAAGCCGCATTCACCTTCACCCTCATCCCTCAAACCACCCCAGTAACCACCCTTCACTCACTCACTCACTCTCTCTCTCTCTCTCTCTCTCTCTCTCGCGAAAGAGAGTAGATTTACGGGATAAAGTGAGAGACAGATAAATATAAAAAAACAAAAGAAATATATAGTTGCGCACTTTATTACATCGAGACTTAATAATCGGTTTATAAAAATTCATGGGGAACCTAACAAGGCAGGTTTATATTCGAGAGATTCCTGTGCTTCTACTACCCTCACCCTCACCCTCACCCTCACCCTCACCCTCACCCACTTATCCACCTACCCGGAATATACATTTCTACTATTCCCGGACTACCAACTGAGAATCACCGAATTAAAAAAAAGTACAAGAGAGAGAGGGAAAGAGTAGTATCCGATGATATATGTATGTGTGTGTATATGTGTATATTCAAATATACACGTATATTTATATGTTCAAACGTATATACTACATTTCCTTCTGGCCATCTCTTCTTCCATGAATTTCCTCCACCAGTGCATGACGATCCATCACCAGCAGACACCGCACCTACGCGAATGCAGTACCGGACCCCGGAACCCTCATTGCGTTTCTAATTACTATCAAAACCCATTGACTGACTGACTGACTGTGATTACAACTGTGTAACGACGAGACACGTGTTTTTAACTTCTCGAGATAGAAACGAAGAAATTTGATAACCGAAATTTGTATATCGTTAAAAAAAAAAAAAGGAACATTGATAACTCTAATCTGAAAAATCTACATTTATTTGTGATATACCGAGTATATATATATATATACGAAATACGATAATATTGTGTTACGTGTACGTATGTATAATGTATAAAATGATTCAACTCGTGTAAAACATAAATACCACTTGAAAAATGTGATATTACGTGAGAAGAATAGAAATAAAGTGAGAAGAGTCAAAAACGGGGTGGTGGTGGTGATGGTAGGACTTAAAAGAAAAATAAAAAGAAAAAAAAAGTTAAATTAAAATCTGGGCTGCGTTTTAAGAGGATGATGAAACAAAAAATAAATAAAATAAAAAAAAAAAGAGAGAGAGAGAGAGAATAATACAAAAAATGCGCAAATAAAAAAGAAAAAAAAAAGCAACTAACATTCGAAAGAGGAGACACAACAAAAAGACATGTGTTAGGTGGCATGGAAATTCGAGGGACGGTAAAGGTAAACGTGTGTATACGTGTATTATTATACATATAAAGGGATGGAAAGAGTTGGTTGGTTGGTATGCTTTTAGCAGCCACAAAATCCGGAAACGTTGACACGAATATATCTCACGAAAGAACTCGTTGGCTCTCGAATATGCGTGTATGGCTTTCGCGCGAATCCTGAGGGTTGGTAAATCTCTAAAGGGTGAAATGCAAAGGGATGGAATGAACCCATAAACGGGGAAAGGGAAGAGAAGATGGATAAACCTCTGGCAAATATTTTTCCTACTAATTTAATTTCACTCGATGAAGTAGAAAACACGTTGTAGTTTCACTTTCCTCTATTCTTTTGTACGATCTAAACTTATGTTAAACAAGAATTCAAATCAAATTCAAAAAAAAAAAAAAAARAAGAGAAAGAGAATGTAAATTTGTAATAAAAAAAAAAAAAAACGCGAATCTGCATAATTCAAAACATATAACCTGCAATTTGTGGAAAATTATTTGTCGTTAAAAAAAAGAAACAAGAAAAAAGACAAAAAGAAATTAATAGGAATAAAATATCGTATCACAGTTAAAAAATTTTGAAAAAGTAGGAAGCTTAAAATATGGAAATAAAATTCCTTCTATGTAAAGTGGAGAAGCTATCGAATTGCAACGCTGATTAAACTTATCGGTCTTCCCCGAGTTCATAAGCCGATCTTTATCTCTTTTACCCTCTCGTGGGAGTAAACTGGGAATAAACGTTGTAGAAACTTCGTGCTTTCTAAGTTAAACCGAACACATCCCTCGTGCAATATCTCTCCCTGTTGGGAATTCTTCCTGCATTTAAAAAGATAAAGCTTCGCTATAAAATATATATATATATATATACTTATATCTCAATTATACGAATAATTGATCAAAGTCTTAAACGTTCATTAATTCTTCTTTTGTTTATTTTTCTTTTTGTTTTCAGAATTATCATTGAAAGCTTGCACGGCCGAATCAAATGTAACGCGATCCAATTTAACGGATGATGAAGAGGAAGAAGAACCTGAAATAACCTTTGACGAATTCAAAGAAAGATATAGAAGATTAATACCATATATGGCCTTTTATGCAGCAAACAATAATCTCAACGTACAATGGGTACCTGGAAAGAATTTGATAAACGTGCCATCATCTAACGATGTTTCATCCTCGAGAAGATCGCACCAATATCCTTTTTCTAGAATTAACAACAGTGGCTCGAGAAACGTGTTGAATAATTTTAGACCAACGAACAACGTTCAAAATCAATTGAGAAAATTTGTTCCCTCTGTTCAATACGATCCAAACGACGGGAGTACTGCTGATATTGATTATTTCATTCCGATAAGATACAATTCTAAGAACAATCACGCGGATTATTCAACGTCTGGTTATAATTCGCAACAGGAACAAAAACAATCCCACACTGAAGTAAATAATCCTGGTGGTGAAATTTTACCGAATGATTATCGTTACATCAGACCAATTCGACCATATGTAACAAGTAATACGAGAGAATACGTTAATAGGAATCAAGGATTGAAATCAACTCATACAAATTTACCACAAGATTACACGTTCGATCACGTAAGCGGTTCTAATGGTAAACCTATCGTTGAAATTAATTATCCTAGTGAAAATATCGATTCTATTCGATACATTCCGCAATCGGTAGTTTCTACTAAAGGTCCACAACAAGCAATAAACATTCTTGATAATCCTTCTTCTCTTTCTTCTTCTTCTTCTTCTGGAAGACAACAGATCAACTTACCGCAAAGGAACTTAAATTTAATTCATTTAAATCCAATATTAGAAAGTTTTCAATTGGCCGAACGTCTCCCCGAAGCCCTGGACAAAAATAATTTGGATGATAGTATAAAAACGCTTATCGAAATATTAAACATTCTTCACAACGCTAAGAAGGAGGAGTTTCCTCAACTATCACCTCCACCCCCCGCGTTATCCACTATACCAGCTGCAGTTAGACCTATTCAAAGACTACCTAACAATTACTATCCTACGAAAATACGTCCAAATACTCGACCAAAAGTAATTACCGAATCGAGGTTCCCAACGGTACCAGCGTCTTTGTTAATACCGGATGATCCGGACCGTTTCAAACCGACGTCTTCTTACGTGAACGAAGTCAAAACTAAAATCGTAGTAGCACCTTCTTACACGCTTGACGATTACAAATCTACGCCTTCCTACAATGACAATGAATTTCGTGTTACACCTAAAATACCCGTAGAACAATCCAGTTACACGTTTACAAACGAAAACAATGGTAAGAAAGTCGTACAATTTAACACGGCTTATAAACCGCTTGATCATTCTCAAAACAATAAAAACCCATTGGAGATCTCGACCCAACATTCTTACGAAATTACGGAAGATTTGAGCGATGATATAATTGATCCAGGTCGTTATACCATACCGCATATTGTTGCTGATCCAACAACAACAGAAACTCAACAAAGTGTTGCAGAACATAATGAAATTTCGACACCCCGGCCAGAATTAAATAACGCGTCCTTGAAATACGGCGCTACGCGAGGAAAACCAAACGTCGATTATCCAACTTATGCTGTTATACCGGAAACTGAATTCAGTTGCAAGAAGCAACGATACAAAGGATTTTTCGGTGACCCCTCGACGGGTTGTCAGGTAAAATAAATTTACTTTAATCAAAATAAATTCGACAATTCTTGATACAATTTTAAATAATCTTTTTTTTCTTTTCTCCTTTTTCTTTTCTTTTTTTTCTAGGTATGGCATTACTGTGATCTTAACGGTGGAAAATCGTCATTCTTGTGCCCGAATGGTACAATCTTCAGTCAAGTGGCATTGACCTGTGACTGGTGGTTCAACGTCAAGTGCGAATCTACCACTCAATTGTACGTTCTCAATGAACGTCTCTACAAATATATCCTTCCGATAATGCCGAAATTCCCCGAAGACTTTACCGGGCCGGAAGTTGATCGATATTTAGAGTTCAAGTTCAAGGAAATGGAAGCTAAGCTAAAGGAAAAGAAATTAAAGAAACAACAGGAAAAAAAGGAGAAGGCCAAAAACAAAATACAATCATCCGACAACAATAATAAAAATCGCGAATAATTTCCAATTAATAATTACAAAATTAGATTTCAATTTTATGCTGTTTGTTCTTTTCGGTTTTTTTTTTTTTTTTCTTTTTTATATATACATAATTTACACGTATCTTGTTGCCATTACGATTTATTTAAATACAAAAAACAAGTTGAAAGAATCGCGATTATTAAATATTACTTTTTATGTATAGTAAAATAAGATTATTTATATAAAAAATGGGAGAAATATTAAGAAAAATATTTAAATGTAATATTAGAAAGTCAAAAGAAATAATTTATATAATGCACTAAAACAAATCAAGTTAACTTTTCTGTTCATATCTATCACGCCAGATATGCTTATTCATTAAAAAAAAAACAAAATAAAATAAAATAAAACTGCAATTAAAGTAATAGGTACTACAAATGTGAGCGGGTATAAAATGACTGATGATATTCATAAGTATTTTCCCCCCTCTCTAGTCATACATGCTTACTGTATAATTATTTATAACAGAATGTGCTCTCAGTTAATTGAATATTATTGTACCTAAATGTTTATCATAAAAGACTTTCTATAATTATTAGTTTATATAAACATAAACTTTACTTATAACATATATATCTTTAAGTAATAATAATGTTAAGCGTTGATATAAATAAATTTCATCCATATAAGAGCATTTGACAGATGCTGTTATGATGAATCATAAAAAATCAATTATGTGCAAACATAATGTAAAATTATAAACACACAATAAATTTATTTATTACTAATCTTTTCTAGAATCTGCAGTTGAACATGCATCAATTATGATATCATCCTCTTTCGTTATGGCTAAATAAAAAAGAAATAAGACGCTTACCTGTATCGCTTGATGAATGCGTTGTTTATTCTCAGCAGCTTTTCTATATTCACTAAGAAAGTTCTCGATTACGGTGTAATTCTAAAAACAAATAATATTATTCGTGAGATATTTTGAAAGATTATCTTTTGAAAGAGAAATAAATTAGAATAGAAAGAAACAAAATAAATGCTAACCATTTCTAACAGCGTAAGGTATTCATGTTTCATGTGCGAAGGAAAGCATTCCACGCAGAGATTTAAATCACATTTGCAACAATAAAAAAATGTGTTTTTAGTACAATTGTTATCACAACTGCTTACTGTCATTAAAAGTGGACTTTCTGATTCATTTAAGCAAATTACAATGTGATTTTGCCCTGCTTTTTCGTGCTTCTGCAAAACAACGAAATGATAGATTTAAAATATTTAAATGAAAAAGACATTTAAATATAAATAAAAAAAGTTATTCGTATACCTACCTTGGAACTACACAATTTACAGAAAAACTCATCGCATTTTTTACAATACAAAGTTGCTTCGCATTCACATTCGCATTGGTAACAGTTAGCTTTTAAACAAAAATAAAATTTACTATAATATATACAAAATTATATTATAAATAATTTATATATAGAAATATAGCATATCAACTAAAAACCTTTGACTTGACTTCCATCCTGTGGTTGGCTTATGTATTTTGAGGTATTAAAATATGGTTCCCCAAAATTGGATTCGTACTTTAATAAAAGCGCAGTACCCAATGCATACAAGTGCAACGGTAATGGTTCAGAACTTTTCTTATCAAACTGAGCAGTATCTTTGCATAACGAGCAATGTTTATTAGGATTTAAATGATCACAATTATTGCAAATTAAATGCCCACAGGGCATCACTAAAGGAATTAGTTTCCCAGGAACATATACAACATCTGAAACACGAAAATAAAATCAGTTTCAAAAAACATTCGTGAAAATCAACAAACGTTTTTTGAAACATTGTCTATTCGTTTCATTTCATGCAACTAAACATGATTCTAACCTACAAATTGTATAAGAAGGAATATGACTTGTTATATTTCTAATCAAATTATTAATTTAATTGTAATCAAATCTATGCTAACATGATTGCTATACATTATAAGTGGATGCTTGTTTCTTTCACAATTACACATTAGTTTTATAAAAGAAAATACATTCCATGTGCATTCTAGCAAGACTAATAAAGAAAAGAGTTTAATTAATAGAAAAATATTAAGATAATAAATAAAATAATAGAAAAAAAAAGAACTTACTTGATTCTGGAAATTGACGTTGACAAGAAGTACATGATAACTTTTGTAATCTTGGCATAAAGAAATTAAAGTATTTTTGATTATCAACTGGATTCAATTTCGACATTGTTAATTATTGAAAAATAGTATTAATTATTAATTGAAATATACCACACAAATTAACAATCGTTACTTATCGACACACGAGATACTCTTTACGAGACACGCGATTCACAATACAGTAAATCAAAAGCACACGTTATTCGTGAATTCTCTTGTTTTGTATCGGCGCCAGGGACGACGTATGCAATTTTAAAACCCCCATCCTAAATTATTTTTAATTATTTTCTTTATAATACTTGATTTTCTCGATATTATTTAATAAAAATCTTTATCGATGCTCAATTTAATGAAAACAATCAAAATATGTTACATTAAATATTCTTTAAATAGTAAATATTAAAATTTTGTCTATCGTCCTGCTAACAATTTGTGAAGGGAAGAGCAAAACAATAAAATCAAGATAAGCAATCAGACTTCGAATCGCAAGCGCGCCAAAATTCAATTTGATATTGGCGACAATACAATGATACCAACTATTTAAAAAGAAAATAATGTTGGTAACCATGGATTTCGATTTTTGTTTGCGAGACAATTAAATATGCGAGAAATAAATGTGTTCAAATAAATATAACAAGCAGGCTTAACTGATACAATATTTCAAACGACATTAATATTCAAATACATAAACATCTAACATACGTCATCATTCAAGGTAAAGGTGGTCCTAATTAAAATTGTAAATTACATTAAACGCCAGGTTAACATCGACAATGATATATATCATTATACGAAGAAATATTTCTTTTTTTTTTTTTTTTATATACAACCATGAGAAGAACTTATTGAATTTTAATTATCTAAAAAAAAAATATCATAAGGTTAAAATGAAAATTGCATTAAAATTCGAACATCGAGTGATATAATGGTCCAATTATAAATTAAACTTGGAAACTGTTAAAACGTTAGGAGAACGTTTAGTATTCCTGCTTGAAAATTCGAAAACTTTTTGAGATGACCTCTCTGTTAGAAAGTTAAGTTAATTTTGCATGAATATTACCAAACGTTAATACGCATCACGTGACGTGTATATTTACATTTAGGTAAAAACTATTTACCAAATGTGCGTGTTCTAGGATAATAAGCGTCAAAAAACGATCACGTATATTATTTTTTCTTTTGTTTTGTATTTTTCTTTTTTCCTTCAGGTCATTTTAGAACATACCATCCTGTATAACTTAGGATAAAAACCATTCGGAAATAAAGGAAAAATGAAAAGCAAAGAAACATCGAAAGAAATACGCAGTATCGTTGATTGTCGAGTCATGAGAAAACGTGATAATAATTTCAGGAATAACAATAAAAAAAAAAAAAGAAAGAAAAGAGATCATCGGCAATTGGTTTACTCAAAATCGTTTCTATGCGGAAGCTGCTGATGTTTCGATAGAAGAAAGGTCGTGAAGCCGTTAACATAAATAGTTTATGATAGTTGTTCGCTGCTGCAGTCTGGCGAGCAGAAGAGTCGGCGATGATGATGATCACGTGCTCCTCGCAAAACTTTGGACCAATAAAAATGCAGGAAATAAAAAAGTAACAAAATATATCTTAACATTGATATAGCATATTCATCTTTTTTTAATTTTTCTTTTCATAATAAAGAACAGAATAATAGAGTATTCTTTTAAAACTCGATAGAGACTATGAGTATCGTTTTAAAAAGAAAACAAACAAGAAAATCTTACTCCTATTTCTATGTATATAATAATTGAAATGATAAGGAAATAATAATAATGAAAAAGAAAAATGAAGTATATAAATAATATAAATTCACAATTATCGAAATAATCGTATAGATAATTCAGAAAATAAAGATGGCGTTGATGACTCTTACAACGATGGACAGACTACATAGTCATCGACGATAGTGCGCGTTGGTTCTCTGTTTAAATGTGCAAAACGTAGCATAACCGAGGACACACGTATGCACGCACGCACACACACATACAACACTGATAAATACAAAATACATAGAGATATACATATGTTTCTAAGCGTAAATTCAGAATTTGCGTGGCAGATGCCGCTGCGAACTCGCCGGGAGTGTTGAAGAAGAATGCAAAAGAAAAAAAAAAGAAAAAAGAAAAAAAAGAGTGAAGAAGCGCGATTAGGAGAGAACAAACAAAAATAAATAAAACGAAACGAAAAAATGAAAAAAGGAGAAGTAAAAGAAGAAGAAGAAGAAGAAGAAGAAAGATTCGGGCTGGGGATTCCTACGAAGTAGAAAAAAATCATGGGCCAAGGATATAAGGACACGAGGATGAAGATGAGAGAATGAAAGGATTAGGATGATGATGATGATGATGAGAGATAAAAATATGGTCAAGAAAATAAAGAAAGTAGGTAACGGATAGGCAAGCAAGCAAGCAGAGTTACGTTGTGATGGTCTAAGAGATTCTAGGCGCGGTCGTGGCTAAGGGTCCGTTATAATCCCACCCAATAGCTAGCTACCGTCGTCGTTTCAATGAACAAGATGCCTTTACATTTTACTTCCTCAATACGATGTTTTTTTTTTCTTTTTTTCTTCCCCTTTTTCTTCTTCTTCTTCTTCTTTCTTGCCGCGCACGAGAAATTCTATTTCTCTCTCTCGAACATTCTATATTTAATAATATGTTATTTTAGATCGAACAACATATGTTTCCTATTTTCCCTTTTCTTTCTTTCGATAATATTGTTAAATATCATTTAATTGTTATTCGATCTGTGTTTAGGGTTCTTTTGTTTTTTTCTTTCCTTTTTTTTTTT